ATTTGCATCTGTCTTTAAATGCCCAACATGAATCACTCAGGAGTGTGGAACACAAACTTGACTTGGGCAGCAGCCCCCCAGGCAGCCTTATGTGCTCCCTGAGCAGACCAGTACCCTACCACCCACCTCACAGCACTGCTATTGAATAAGTCACCAATCAACATCAGCAGGAATATCTGAACATGGATGTTGAATGAGAGCATAAACCATGAATGACGTCTGGTTGAACCTTCCCTACGTGTTCCAGTTACACCTCCCTGTGACGGCTGCCACTTTGCTCCCCTCTGTTTTTCAGATGGTGAGGCTGCAATACGAGTTGCTCCCGTGCCAGGGCTCCAGTGATGAGGAAGTTGACTCATTGAGGGAAAAAAAGGCAAGGACAATTGCCAAGCCATTCTCAGAAGTACATATTGCGAACCTTGACTGCCCATTGCAAAACTCCCGCAAAATCTGAAAACCTTTTTGCGCTAAAGTTGGAAAAATAAAATAATAGCAGACCTATTTAATTTAATACTGATGGGAATCAATGTGCTACACATTGATGTAGCGCTGAATTCAGCCTTGAATGGCTTCAGAGGGTAGGATAAGCCTAAGGAAACCTTTGCGATTTGCACAAAGGGAGATGTGGAGCAACGTCACCGCAGTCAGTGGCATTGCTTTTCATTGCCATCAATGTAAAGGAGAAAAAGAATTTGGTTTTTTGAGTTCATATCAGGACACCAGATGAGCAAGCCTGGTCTTAAAAGTCCTGCAGAACTGAAACGCCACAGACAAAGGCATTAAGAAACACTTATTGTGATGTTCTTCTGTCTGTTTACAAGTCCCCTTGTGGTCTTCTTAAATGGCCAGGGAACATTTTTAGCCATCCCCCTCCAGGCTCCAGATTATGCCTCGGTTAGCAGATCATCTGGGCAGCTCTCTCTGTCTGTAACTCTATATGAATGACTTCAGTGACAAACAATACAACCATTCACTTTTAGTAAAAAAACAACCACTGCCACCAAATGGTTCCAATTTAAATACTTCTGGTTCTCTAGCTACTGCTTCCAATTTGGTATCAGCTACTGTCAGCTGCAAATCCCAATGAAGTTTGAAGTCACGATCTTGAATTGAGTTCTGCAAACGCAGAATGACCAAGGAGAAATGAATATCTCCGAGTAGGAAGTTTAGACAAAGAGCCCATCACATCCATGTTGAAGAATTGTGGGTTACAGAAGCTCATGCATGGGTACTGCCATTGAAGAGCGGTTAATCATCACATGCTCCAGAAGCTATGCATTCCTCAAGAAAGAAACAATATAGAGTATCTGAGAATGAAATCACTTCTACTTCAACTCATGCTAATTCCTGGCATGGGACAGCTTATCCCGTTTTCTTGCAATCAGAATTGTGTGACTTCGTCAAAACTGCCTATTTCAAATCATCCCTGATCTAGCCTAACTTCCCAAATGTCCCTGGGAATTGATTCCCTGTGCATGATCCGGCCTGGATGAAAGCAATATAAGGGACCCAAGGACCACCTTTATGATTTATGATATATATGTAACAAACAAGTGTTGGTGCCTGGGATATTCCTTCACAGTGTTTATTATATGAGGTCCACCTCAGGATTCACCTATTCCTGTTCTTGCCCTGGTAGTGTATGATTGCCTAAAGCAGCATTTTCACACCGAGGTGAGTGCAAGGAGTAGTGGATTTCTTGCATGCATTCTACTGGGTTTCCATGATGTAAAAAAGCCCTCAACTGAGTTAGCTTCACATGTAGGCTAAGGTTCTGAGCCAGTTCTTGCTTTAGTCACATCCATTCTGCCCATCCCTAATCTAAATGAGCTCAGTCATTAGCCTCTAAATCTTTATTTCTCTGTGCCAATATTGGCTTTAATTCAGCAAGGCACTTAAATATGTGCTTAACTTCAAAAGCACGGTTAAGTCCCACTGATAGGTTTGGCTACAAGGGGATGTAAGCAAATAGCTAAAGGCTTTGCTAAATTGGGGTCTTAGTGACACAATCCTAGAAACATTTGTATTTTAACATGTTTATAGAGAATTATAACAATTAAGTGGAACTCTTCCTTCCTCACATAAAACCAAGCCAGGACTTCCTCTTTCGAAAAGCTTACAGCAGCCAAACTTTCTTTTCCTAACCCTGGGGTCAAGCACTTTTCCAAGAACTCATCTTAACATAAAGCCCTAATTGTTTGTTCCCTTCAAGATGAGTATATATGCATAGGAGAGACTAAAAGCCCATAGTATATAGCTGTTATGAGAATCGCCACACCCTTATCTACTGTACACAGGAAAAGCTTCCTTTTTGCGCAGGCCAGGCTTAGGCTGGGCTGCAGATCTGAAGCACACCTTTGTTTTGTTCTGTGCCACCATACACACAACTCACACACACGTAGCCTTCTGAGGGTTTATCTAACAGATCTATCCTTAAAATGGGTTTGCCTTTTCCTCCGTAGAGATTTCTCTAAAGGCAAGAGCAGGTTCTATCTCTAATCCAAGCATATATGCAGCCTTTTGAAAAACAAAGGCTGCTAGCCACATTCCTTGTTGTAGAAATGAAAGAAGTCTGAACTACAAAGGGGGCAATGAATTTCTCTTCCTCAGTCTTCAGCTTAAACCCATTGGTCCCCTTATACTAACACAAAACCTCAAAGAACAACCACCTGAATCCTTGGGGCTGGATGGGGACCGGTGGACCTGTTGCTGACTGTGCCACTGGAAGAAGGATCAAGTCCTTTTTAGGTGTTTGCCTTCAAATTTGGTCCATTGGAGTGACCAAAAGAGTAGCAATGGTCCCTTCTCTGGTCCCTTCAGTGATCTCACAGCAGTAGCATTGGGTCTGACTCTGCCAGCAATCACAGCAAAACCCTAATTCAAACTGATAGGGTCAGGAATGAGCATAAACCCAGAGGTTTACAGAAAACACCTGATCCAACACAAAGTAAACTGTGAGGGAAGGAGAGGCACAAGCCAGGATGTTCCCACCACCAGACCAACAACATTGTCCCTGGGACTAGCTCTGCCTTCAGCCTGCCTGCACCCTGCTGTGGGCCATATTCCTGCCTGGGGGGGGGGTCCATATTGAACTGATAAAGCTCCCAAAGCCCCTTCACCCTTACAGCCTGGAAGCAGGACTGTGTGTGCCTGGGCGTTAGCAGCCCTGCAGGTCTCCCTGCCAGAGTCTGTCCAGGCAAACAAAGAGAACACATCGCCTTCCACTTTAATAAAAGCCAAATGATGCCGTTTGCCAATTACCAAACTGGGGCGAAGGTTAAAAAGCCCACTGAATTATAACACATGTCACGGACCAAAGCTTCTATGATTAACAGTTCTGTGAGAAATTCATTAATTTCACCAGGAGCAAGCTGACAGAGATTGCGCTTAATGACAGAACACAGGGCAGGGGAAAGGCAGCGGGATCGGGAAAGAGAAAGCTGCATTAATTCACCAAAAAAAACCCCAGAGATGAGGAAATCCTTTCTCCCCCCCCCCCCCTTTATGAAAAGAAAGAATAACCACAGTTACAAAGGGCAGTTGCATTTGTTCCACTGCTGAAGATTTATCTTCATCATTTCTTGTTGGGGAAGCTGACAGCAGGAGGGAACAAGACAAAGAGAAGAGCTGGAGTGAGCTACATCTCCCTAGGGCTTGTTTGGGGCAGCAAAGGGTGAAGCATGGAAGATGGCCCTCCATTGAGGCCAGGGTGAGGGTAGGCAATGCCATATTGGCCAAGAGTGGGTCTCGGTCTACAGTGCTGGTCCCTCCAGCTGACAAGTGCCCAGATGTGCGCGCTTAGGAAGGAAGGTAAACCCCAAATCTCCGCTGTGGAAGCAATAACAGTGAGTTCATGCCAAGATTTAACCAAAGGAAGGGAAAACTTTTTTGCTACACTGACTAGGAAGCATAGGGAGCTGCACCATGTTGGGACATGCACACTGGAGGGCTATGGTCAGCCAGAGCCTGCTCCAGGGGCAGGGAGGCTTATCTTCATTATGAACATGGAATTAATGGTGGATTAGGAAGCTGGAAACTCCTGAAATCCACAGCTGTGATTTGGGAATGTCTCCCTGGGTTTTCACACCTTCCACCTGCAGCTTCCAGGAGGAGACGTGTGGTGAACACAGCAGGGAAATGCCACCCAGGGAAAGCAGCACTTCACAACAACTGCCTTGCAGGGATGGGACCCCCCCTCAATGTTTCCTATGCAGCGAATAGGACAAAAACCTGATTCCTGAGGAATTGCTGGCAAAGGCAGCCCCAAGGCACGAGCCTTCCTTGCTGCTTGAGTGACTGCGGGGGGGAAGTTATATCTCTGCTTCTACACACCCAATTGCACCCTGCACTCCATGAGGCTAAATAGGAGATAATAAAGGTATAATAATTCGAGCTATAAAGTGCAAGAGAAGAACTAACGGGGCCATTATATCTAAGGATGTGACGTGAAAGCAAAGCGTGTCGGTTTTGCAGCACATCTCCAGCAGTGAGGTAAACTTCTGCTGTTTGTGGACAGCTGCAGGAGAGAACCCAACAACTGGGAAAATACAACTGGAAAGTGGAGTTTTGTTGTTTTTTTTTCATTCAAACCCTCTATAAATGCCTTCAGAAGGATGGAATGGATTTTCTAAAGGGCTAACGATGACTGAGGACAACAACTTATCAAATACCTTTTGCATTTAGGCTCCTTTTCCTGTTCTAAAATACTGTAATACTTAGGTTAAGAAAGAAGAATGAGCACATGTTCTATTTTCAGTTATTAGGTTGTCACTAACCCATGGGAGCGATCCATTCACCCTCAAAATAAAGCTCTGTTAACTCGTAAGGGCTAATACATTTCTTTTCCCCCACATTGAAAACCTGCACCCTTGCCTTGAAGTGTCTGTATGTGGCTACAAATCCTTTCCAACCAAAATAATTCTCCTTGAACAGAGAGAAATCATATTTCTAGTAGAGAAAAGCCAAAAAGTAGGAAAAACATCCATGTTGACCTAAGGAAAATGAAAGAGGCAAAATTGATGCTTACATATAGGAAGAAAAGCTCCTTTTAAAATTCAATATCTTAAAAACAACATTAGGCAAAAGCAACCATTGGGGAAAGGGGAGAAGGGAAGCCTGGGACTGCACTCAAGAGTATGATGGGGGAGACTATGAGCAAAGGAGGCAGAAAACCTACATCCAGCTTCTGAACTGGTTAAGAATAAATTTGACAAAATCCCTCTTTCTAAGACCTTCCTGGACTGGGAAAAATCACAAAGGGAAAAGATGGGAGGTGACAGCAAAGGTGTCACTTATTTCCGGGCTGCACAGCTTAAGGCACACCTTTCCCTACACCTTGGATACCTAAACCGCGTAAGGGTTTCTTGTACAGAACAAAGCATATATGATCACCCAAACTGATTCCATCACAAGGCAAACTGGAGGTTTTCCACTATAGCACTGTCATCAATGGAAGAAATCCCACTGGTTCCAGTTGGCTTTGGATCAGGGCTTTATTTCAGAGAGTTTCTAATTCCTGGACTGACCTGGAAAACTTTATGATCAATCCAGCATTATAACCTGCAAGACCTAAAACGTTCCTTTGAAGGAGCGAGTCTCTGAGGGGTGATTTTGAGAGCAAAGGGGCCGAGAGGGTTCAGTGCATCCCGAAAACAAAACAAGCCCAATGAAAAACATCAGGAAGAAAAAGCAGAGGCAAAGGGGGGACGATTCTTCTTCAAGAGGATTTTAAAGGTTAGTGTGCTGGGCTGCAGAGGCTCACTGAAGCTTTGCCTTAGGGGAATGCACTTCTTATTAAGGAAATAACTTTCTAAACACAGAGCACTTCTAATTTCATAAGTGAACAAATGGTCCAATTCCTACTGAACAATTGAGAGGGAGGAATGTGGTCCTGTGCCTCAGCCCTCTGGAGCACCTGGGTGCTTCTCACCATCTCCTTCCAGTGGGTCTTTCCCTCTCTTGCACTGGGATTTGGCCAGACTTCCACAAGTTGAGCTTCTCCTCTGAAACCTGATCCTGCTGTCTTTGGGCCTCTGAATTTATACAACCTATTGCACAGACTGATCAGCCTCCTCAAATCTAGGTCAGAACGCACCGACTGGCTTGATTTAACTATAGATAGACTCTTCTTTTAGGGTCTTTTAATTTTATTTTCCCTTCCCTCTCCCTCTTTTCTCCCCCTCCTGCTTTTCCTGGAATAAAAGCAGGTCCTAAACCCAAGCCAGAACATTATCAAAAAGCCTGACCGCTCGCTTTGGAGGGCCGAGCAGAGGTTTGCTGGGATATGCAACGTGTTTTACTATTGCTGCTGCTATGGTATGACGACTGCTCACAACTTTGAATGGACAAAGGACCACAAAAAAGATTCTTTCAGGGGTTTTGCTAAATTCTCCCCTCTTCTTTTCACAGCCTTGCTGAAAGGCTCCATGAAGCTGCCGCACCAGAGGCCATGAAAGGTCACAATCTCTGTGGGATGCTGTAAAGCAGAGACTGAGAGGGGTTGGTGGTGATCTATTGATGTGTCTGTAATAACAACAAGAATAAAACGGTAGCCATAAACCTTTCATCCTGGGGGGTCCCACAGAGCTTTTCAGTATGTGGGATGGATCCGGAGAGGTTCTGAGGGCCCTTCCCCAGCCATAAAAGCACCACGAATGCTGGTGGCGGAGCACCCACTGTATGGGGCCGAGCACCTCGTCCGATCCATCCCTGCCGGGGCACAAGCATCACTTCGTCTCCCGTGGGAGGTCCCTGCAGCACTTCAGCAGCACAAAGAGGTTTAGATTGAAGCCGATGTGTGTGAGTGGTGAAAATGATGCCGTGATGAGGAATGGATGGAGAGTTAACTGGCCCCAATTCCAAGCTTGGGATAAAGGAGGGAGGAGAAAGGAAGAGGAAATAATTCACTAACAGTATCCCATGCGGGTTAAATGTCCCATCCATCCTGATCAATGAGAACACAGCCGGGTTTTTAGCAGGCACACAAAAGGGTCAGCAAGGTTCAGCTCCTGTGCCCCTCCTGCCTCCTCCTAACCCCCGGCACAGGCAGTGTGGGGCAGGGGGAAGCTCGCTGACAGGCTCACCTCTGCTCTGCTGGGCTGTAGGTCTGTCCTCGCTGGCAGCTGCTGATGGTGATGGGGTCGAAGTTGTGGAAGGAACGCAGGGCCACCCCGGAGATGGCCACAAACTGGGAGCTGAAGCTAATGAGGACAGCCTGGGTGTGATAAAAAGGGTGACTGAGGTCATGGATGACGGGGATAATCAGGGGATTGTTCCTGCAGCTCAGGACGTGGACACCTGCCAGAGGAGAGACAAGATCAGAGGAAGGGTCAGGCTTAACACAATCACTTCCCGGAGCCATGGGCACTTCAGAAGCATTTCACCCATAGGAATGGCCCTATAGAGCTGAAAAGTTATGGTAAGCTGCCTGGAGGGGCTTCCCAAATGGCTCTGGAGAGCTTAGCAGGGAAGTATATCCCTGCAGACAGCTGAAGAAAGGCTGCCATTCTCTCCACAATCACAGCAAACTCTCAGAGCAGTTTCTTTATGCCACTTTATTGTGCTCTGTTAAACCAGGAGCAACCAGCATGGAGGGAGTCACACTATTGTAAAACCATGTCCTGAGAGGACAGTTGGAGGCTTTATACCATGCATCAAATGGTACCAGCAGGCTGGGTGGCATCATGCACCATAGGCACGGCACCAGTGGCCTGCTTGTAGCTCTGTGTGTCATTAGCACTCAAGTTAAAACTTCTTTTGCATGAGCTCTACACTAAGTGAGCCCAGTTTTGATTTGTTTGATGGTTTTCAGACTTAGGGTATCTTGCTCTTTGCTAACAAAGGCAAAGATGGTCCTGGAGACAGACACGAGGGTGATGGACCCATTGAGGACTTCACAGGTGATCTCATTTGAGAAGAAAAATAACTGTTTCTCAGGAAAACAGAAGTGTCTCAAGAGGCTGAGATGCAAAGAAGCACCCCAGAGGTGACAAGGAGTCTTCGTGATCCCTTTTCTTCATCAGACAAGACACCTAGTGATAGCTGGGAAGAAAACCCTACCTTCAAGTAGAGACAGCCTGAATTCAAACAGGCTGAATTGCAGGGGTACCCCGAAGGACAGAGAGCTGTCAGCTGGCCTCAAGAGTCATTAATTGAGATTCACAGCCTGACGGCTGCCTGCACAGCTCTGCCTCCACAGCTCCATGGCATCACTCCGAGGATCAACTTGGCTCCAGCTCCCTTCGCTTCACTGGGGCTCCCAGCAACGGCTTTGGCCCGGGCCCTTTGGCTTCCCAGCTACACTTGTGAATGTGAAAATAAACTCAATTCTATTTGCATGTTTAACTGGCTCAGGGGGTTCTATTATTATTATTAATAATTTTTCCCAGTTCAGGTTTCTTGACTGGAAAAGGAAGGAATAAAAACGTTTTCCTTCTTCTCCTTAGAAAGTGATTTCCTGTGAATTAAGACAGACTTTGACCACTCTCTTTAAGGATCCATCTCCCACCCTCTACTTTAAAAACATCTTCCTGTAATAAAAGCAAAGAAAATACAGAATAAAAAAGCAAACGTCTTTTTGTTTTGGTCTTTACCTGACCCTGAAATAACCTCCCTGTCTGCTTGCCTCCCACAGGCCTTTTGATATCAGCTCCTTGTGGAACGGTGCACGTTTCTCACTTACAAACAGGTGCAGTTAATACTCGAAATCCCGGGTTCCCAAATTCCTTGCAAGTTTCTGCCTTCTCTGATGGGAAGCCAAGAAAGACCTTATGGTATGAAGCTGTTTATTCACTTCAATTTCATTCCTTGCACTCAGGTGGTGTCCACACCAAAACAGACCCTCAGAGCTGTGCTGCAGTTGCTGCTGCTTTCTGACCCAAACAAGGTGAACAGGGGATGCAGGTCAGGTTCATTTAGCTAACCTACCTTCATTAGCAAAAACCACTCAGGATATAGAGCTGCCGTGGAGTTAGAGCTGCCTCCATGCTTGCCCCTGTTTCTGTAGCTCTATATCCACCCATTCAATGCTCAACAGCTCTTGCAAGCACCAAGCAGATGAACCTCATTGTCCGCAATGGCTCTGAACTAACAGTACTGAGGTCTTTGGCACCCTAATCTCTCCATTTCCTATGAAGACTCAGAAGAAGCTTCTCATTTCTGGTACAAACTTGCTCTGATCAAGGTGGGAAACTGCACTTGTGGACAGACCACATTTTGCTCATAGGGGTGTCTTCAGCACTCTGAGGACTGATGAAGCTTTAAATTATTGCTAGTACCTTTTGGATGTACTTCTGGTTTGCCACTAACTTCTGCTTAAGGCTGGCTGACTGTTTGCAGTCAATCCTGCACCCAGGGCATACCAGGGTTTGCTTCTCAGCTGCAGTTTCTAGCTCACCATTGTCATAATTCCAACACATCAAACACAATATCCAGGAAAAGGACCTCATGCCACAGCCAGAACTCAGACAAAACAGTGACTGAGAGCTCTGCTTGGGTGAGAAGTGCTGGGTAGCCTACCTACACCTCTCCTCTGCTCCAGGCCAGCCTCTGGGAAAGGTCAGAGGAGCTTTTCCATGATGAAGGCAGCATTTCAGCTGTGAAGATCTCCAGGCGTCAGGCTGAGCCATGCCAAACTCATGTTGCAACTTCATTGAGGATTTCAAAACCTAACCCTCCGTTTCCTCTTTGCTCCTCTTTCTCTCCCAAACTCTCCGTCTGTCTCTATAAAACGCTGCATTAAGTGTTTGTTGGCATGCTTGTGTCTCCAGCACTTATTTCTCAGAGGGAAAGAGCTATGTGCCACTGTTCTGTGAAAGGAGGAGGAGGAGGAGAATAATCCAGGGCCTCTGGCAAACTGGGATCTCTATCCTGACTCAATCTGCACAACTTGCCATGAATGTCAATTCAACACCACACATACTTTCTTTCCTCTCCTACACACCCCACCCTGGATAGTCATCCGTACCTGTCACCTGTGTGTGTCCCTTCTTCTCATCACTAGCACGAAGTTCATTTGAGTTTCAGCATGTCAAAATTGCCAAGTCATGGTAAAACAGAAAGCTGGGAGAGGTGGGTTATCTTCCCTTAAAAACCTGACAAAGAGACATGGCCAGTTTTCTTCCCAGTGGAAAAAACAGCAGGGAACAGCTGGAAAGGGATCTGTGAGTCCTGCCCTCACATGGAATTGGAAGCTATGGTGAGCTCCTTGGTCCCGGCACTTTAACGTAGCCAGAATCAATTCATCAGACACAACTTTCCCAGGTTCAGGGACCTGTGCCCACAGTGGAGGCACTTCAGCACAACTGTCAGGTCCACAGACACTACCAGGCACACCTCAAGGCCCTCATAAAGGCCCTGGTGTTAGACCTTCACCAGACCTTAAATACTCTGCATGGAAAACTTTGGCCATTAAATACCTGTGGAAGCCTCCTGCAAGCAGGAGTAGAGATCCACCAACTACACCTTGCGATGCATGCTTGCTGCAGCAGCTGGTGCAGGCCCCTCGCTCCCTGCTACCAGCAGCTCATCTGCATCACTGCCAATGGCTCTCCAGGGAGAGACTTTGTGTAAAGCATTGAAATAGTGCTTATTTTAATGACGGAAGAGGAACTAATCGCTTAGTGAACACAAAATGAACAGGTATGGAGAAACATCTGTATAAAAAGATGCATCATTTTCAACAAACTCGAGTGCAATTCGGGGCTTGGAGCATTTAGCAATTACTCTTTTGTCTGATCCTGGAAAAACTGGGTAGACGTATCAGTCAGATTGTGAACAGAGGTACCAGCAGGTTAAGCAAGCAATAGAGGGGGAGTTTAATTAAATACAGTCTTACCAAGATCATGGCTTTGCTCTTTGGTGTCAAACAGCTGCACACCGATGGTCTCCTGCTTCTGATCCAGGTAATAGGTCCCATCAGTGACCAAGTGAACCAGGACTGCTGCAGCTACCATAGGTTGGGAAAAAAAAGCCTGGGAAAACAAAAGCCCCACAAAGGCTGAGATGCAGAACTGTGGTGGGCTTAAAGAAACCCCCAGAGTCAGCCCAGGACTTGTAATGTAACAATTCCCATCACAATTCCCATCCTGAATCACACAGAAATCTTCACTTCCAATCTCTCCTACACAAAGTAGATGCTAAACTCAAGTCAAAGAGCCCTGCAGCTGGAGGGCTGTCACAATAGCCTCATCACAGGAGGGGACTTCCCCACTGACACTCCAGACAGTGCTCAAAGACTTTGTTTTGCTGTTTTGCACCGTGCTTCAAAGCAAGGAGTAGCTTGGCTCTGGGAAGGCTGTCCCATGCTATTTTGCCTGTTGGGGAAGCTTTGTTTAGGGAGGCAAAGAGAAGACTTCTGAAAGACATGCGCATTTCCTACCTTCAGCCAGAAAACGGTCTGTGCCATGTGGGAGTACTGGAAGTTGGCCGTGCAGGGATACCAGGCATACTGAGAGACACCATCATTCAGGTCAATCACCTTAGTTCGACATGTCTGTGGGAGAAAAGGGAAACACCAAAACAGACGTAGGTGATGGTAAGGAAGGATTCTGAGTGTTTAAAGTCCAGGTACACTGCTAGAATCAAATAACCCACAATAATGATGTTTCCAAGTACCGTGAGATGAGTCAAAGGTGAAGTTTTCAGGATTTCCACCTCAATAAAAAATTAAAACATCAAAAAGGAGCTAAAGACTCCCAGCAGCTGGATGGAAGCCCCCAGTTTCCTCTTAACTTGGTGCAAAGTCTTTGACAGCACTCAGGACAGCTCTGCTCTCACCCAAATGGACCACGACTCTTCCCACTGGAGTCAAAGTGACGATCGCTTCTGAACGTACCAACTCACAGCTCACACAGCCTGCAGATGCTTTTCACAGTACTCAAGCAATGCCCTGTTTAAACCTGCATTTTACCCCAGGGAAGCCACAGATGGCCATGTGAACTGGGAAGCAAGTGTAGCCAGGAAAGTCCTGTCTCTACAACCCAATTTAAGCAAGTGTAGTTTCCTGTATTGTCAGCTAGTTTGTGCAAGTGGAATCACCTTCTTCCTATACCTAGAGCACCTTCCATGGCAGGCAGCAACGACATTATAAGCAAACTGCTCTCCTCAGTAAAAAACAAGTAGATGAATCCCAAATGCTGGCATGGATGAAAAGCTCAAAGGAAATGTCAGAATCTAAGCACCAGAGAGGCTTGCAGTGCCATCTGTATGGAAGACGTGCAAATCAAGCTGCAAGAAATGGTAGGATTTACCCTGAAAACACATTGCCCAGCAAAGCTTCTTCAAAAAAGAAACATGCATGACCACAGCCTTCATCCTTCCAGTAAACATGAGGAAGGAACCTTTCACCATGCAAAAGGCTACAACTGCATTGGAAGGATGCTTTCAGCTGTTTGGAGCACCTGAAGAGTACTTGTTAAGATTCACAACGCTTTGGTGAACTCAGTGACTGTCCTTACTAGAGTCATGGCAATAGAGGATGCTCCTTGTGGTCACACAGGCTAGTGGCAATGGAGCTGAGAATGTAACTCAAGAGGCCAAAGCATCCCCAGCAGTTGAGCTGGCCACAGGAGAGCCAAGACTGACCACTTGTGCTAGGTGCTAACTGGAGTTATGTGCTCCTGGAGACACTTAGATTTCTTTCCAGGACCAGAGTCTGAGCTGAGCAATCAGGTGGTGATGTGCTGTCAGCAAAGCTGTTCTCATAAGCAATTGCCCTCATTATTAAAACAAAAAGAAAACCCTGAAATGAAACAAGAGAATTAACGGAGATGCTTTTAAGCATTCAAAATCCTGTGCCCACCCAGCTGTTCTGCATGGAACTGCTCTGTTGGTCTCTGCAGGCGAAGTCCAGGCAATGCAAAGAAAGCCTGAGATGCCTGGGAATGAGAAACCAGATTGGTTAGAAGTGAGGTAATCACTTCTATAATCTGAGTCCCTCAAGATCCAGCACAGAGGAATCTATGGGCAAAACATAAATCAGCTTTAATGGGCTGGAAGAAGATTTTGAGTTTATTTATTTTTTAAACAACTGGGACCAAGCTTCATTGAGGCTAGCCAGTGGATAGTGTTACATTTTACAGCAGAGCAAGGCTTTACATAAACTATCTTTGGCATCTGAAATCCAGGCCAGCAATTCGACATGTACCATTTCGCAATCCTCCCTCCTTGCATTTTCAGCAGCCTGCCTCGTGTTGGGAGCATGGTTTTTATTTTCATACCTCTCCAGCTAGGGAATTTATCTTACCCACATCTGCAATTTATATGGTCAGAGAGCTCTTTGACATGAACAAAGGTCTCATTACTTTTATATGATTTTGCTCTTACTCTTACATCTCCTCTGGCTCTCTCGGTCCAAAAAGGTGGCTGAAAGAAACAAAAGTACTGGCGTTTGGTGTATTTTAAGTGCCACTTAATGGATGAGTGAAAACCTATATTAAGAAATCACCCAGACCTTCACCAAAAGTTTGACTCAAACCCAAAATAAACCCCTGCTGAGGGGGGCTGGAAATCTCTGATAACTTTTAAATGCCTTGTTTGATTTGTGTGCATGTGTGAACCCGAGCACTTTCTGCTTCTGCCTGAGAGTATTAGCAAAAACCCTAACATCTCATAAAGACCCTATGTTTGAGACACGTGCAGCTGAGGTGTGCAGCATCCATAGGCTCCTCCGTTTTGGGCAGGTTCGATAAGCATCCTCCTGCTGAAGCTGCTCCATCACTACTCAGACAAGTGTTGCGAAATGGTACTGGGGTAAAAAGTTCTTTTAGGAGAAGAGTATTGATTGAGAAGTGTGGGAAAAGTCTAATAGACATGACATGAAGAGGACCTACAAGAGCCTCTTCTATACTACCTGCTCTCTACTAAACCCAGCTAATGGCCAAAAAGCTCTTTAAGATTTTGTAATAACAATCTGCTTGGATAACTCTACTACCTACAGACTCCACCATCTCAACAGGCTCTAACACACGTGGTAAACACATCCTGTTCTCAATTCTATCCAGTTATTGTCACACCACAGCAGCAAGGTCTCATTTGCCGGGAGAGTCTTTCACACTTCTGCTTTTAAGGTGCCCCTAGGAGATGGCAGCAAAGTGAAGGTGCTTATTACTTCAGTACCACCATTTTTAAGATGGTACTGGAAGTTCCCATGCCTTGGAAAAGAGAACATCATCTCTCCTCAGGGCTCCAAGTTCTTAGAAATTCATGCTTATGAGAAATAAATCATTTTCTAACATCCTCCAGTTTGCTACAGTGATGCAGAACAGCAGCTAAAGCACCTGACAGCTGTGAAGGGAAGAAGGAATAGATGTACTTTTCACTTCAGGGTCTTACCAAACACTAAAGTATTTGCTTTGAAGGATGACGGCATCACACAGGACTCAAAACTTCACTCGCTGGGGCTTATCCAGGTTCTCAGACCCGCACACCAACTGGGGATCCACAGGAGCTTTAGTATCTGCTCCAAAGTATGCAGGGACTATTTGTGTCTACTTACTGGAAGCCCATGTCATACCCCTCCCTAGGAAGCTGCTTTCAATTAAAGGAGCTGATGTCTGCTCCTCTCGGAGGTTCTAATCCAGCTCGTCTCCCACCCACACATTTTGTACACAAACATCGAGAGACAGAATGAACAAGGCCAAGGAGCACTGTGGGATCTTCCCACAGGAGGGAATGCCTGGAGGATTCCCTTTGACTGATTTATACAACCCCTTGTCAATCACAGGGACAACATGTTCTTCAAACCGCCTCTCCTGTTTTCCTTCTCTTACTCCAGGGGACCCAGGAACGTGTCAGCAGAAAGGGAAAAGTGATATATCGGGAGCACTTAGTTCATTGCCACATCTCAAACGCATTTACTATTGCAATCAACTCAATTTCCTCATAAGGTTTTCCTTCAAAGGAATATGGGAAAATTTGCTGAAGAGCAAATTTTGGAAGGCACCCTTGTGAATGATTCCCAGCCATCCCATGACTTCGGGCAGTGGTGTGTTGATGGGCTCCTGTTGCAGATGAACTATAGGTTGAGGATCACTGATCCTGTGGACTGGGCATTGAAGGAGGTCTCAACCTGACTGTGCCCAATGCACAGCCCCGTTGCAACCTTTTGGGCAGCACTTGGCTTCTCCAAGCCTGCGAGCCCCTGTCTGTAAGACAAGGATGATATTCCCATATATCACACATGTATCTTCAGGGTAAAAGCCATAAGCCACAAAAAGGTGCTCAGATGTTACAAAGAGAAGGGACAAACAAGCACATAGACGTGTAAAGGACATATCTCCCCATAGGAGTGGGCTAGATATAGAGACGCCTTCCCACCCTGTCCTTCCCATTGAGCAAGCACAGCCAGACACCACAGGCTTTGCACACACTGATGGTTCTTGTTTCTCACACTGTAACATCCAAATAATTCTACTTGCATACGGGCAAAGCTGCTACTTGAGCAGGGATGCTGCCCTAAGCTCTGGCATACGGCTGACGCCGCGGTTGGAGTGGACATGCCTGTCTGCATGCCCACAGGCGGCTCTAAACAGAGCACCTCTCCATTGTGCAGATCTGTCTGCTCGCAAAACCCCATCTGTTGTCCCATGGTGGGGCTTCCTGCAGACCACATCTTCAAGCTATGTATGGCTGTGAAGGGCCACAGCCAGCACTTGTGCATCAGGCAGTGGAGAGCAACCTCCTGGGGGCAAAGGGTGGAGGTGGTTAACATGCCCCAAACTGCTGCCCCTTCTGCACCGAGACAGGCAATGCTGCAGGTTTCTGGGATGAACTTGGCTATACCCTGACCTGTTTGCAAAACAGCAACCACAGAACAAGCAGGAGCAGGACCTATCGGTAAATCCCACAAAACCATCTATTTGTGGAGCACCCAACATCCTGAGTGCAGTTGTACAAGTGCATGGAAAAGCTCACGGACTGATCGGAAACCCGTGGAGGCACAAGCAACACAGTCTATTGTCTGAAGATCCAGCTAAAGAACAGATTTCAGCCCTAATACTGAAACCTAATTAATCTCCAGTTTTCAGCTGACTGCTCTGCAGAATGTTATTTATATTTAACTCAACACATGCCAGAGAATCCCAACCATGACACAAGCAGCATTTTAACACATCCCTTACAGATGAAAACTTTCTCTCTCCATTGCCAGACAAGGGGGCTGGCAGTCACCCAGACCTTTTCTTCTTCAATATGTTATTGTTTTTGCAGACCTAAGGTTAATCTTACCCAAGGATGAGAAACTGTGGTGCAGTTGCTAAATATCAGAAAGGTTCCTGCTTGTTTATTGCCCAATATTATAAGGCAGCTTGACTGCCACATGGACACCACCCAGTTTGCCGACTGCAGCACAGACCTCCAATCTGTTCTGAAAGCTGTTGCACTGTTCTTCTCATTTAGAACTGGGCTGGAGCTACAGAGGAATGAAACTGCCCACATCCATGAGCACCGAACCATTAAAAAGGCCACCATTTGGGCTCCTGCAAACACCGCAAA